TGAACCGCGTACGCTCGTCCGGTCTCGTCCGGGAAATGTCGTCCGTCGTACGCCGATACTTGGTCGCGTCGAGCACCGCCGGCAGTGTTGCTACCTAACCGCGTGACATTCGGGGTCCGTTGCGAATTTTTTTTCGAATTCCGAATTTTTCGCGACAATGACAAACGACTGTTTACGACCGCCGTCGACGAACTCGGGATAATTGCGATATTTTTCGTAGTGCCATTTTTGTCGTTTGTTCGCCCCGTGTTTCGGTTCGTGTACCGTACGATAACAGAGCGTGTTCGTGTTTTGTTTTTTTTTTTTTTGCTTTTTTGTTTTTTTCCGTTTAATAATTTCGTCGATACCGTCGTTATTATTATTATTATTAATATTATTAATATTATTATTGTTATTATTATTTGTCAACACTACACCAAAATGAGTAAAAACGCGTCCATCCTAAAGGACATACTCTGCAACGGAGTCGTACGCTACTCGAGTAACGCCCGTACGTATTTATTTTGTAATAATTGGTTTTTATTGGGTTTTTTTTTTTTTTTTGTATGCTCTCCGTTGTCGCTTTAATCCACAGCCGTTTTTTCGGCAATGACAACGCGATCAGCGTTTCGCAACGGTCTGTAGTAAAAATGCACACACTGTCGTGCGTTTGCATGTGTTTATTTATTTATTATTTATTTTGTTTTTGGGGCCACAGCGCGCTTTCGTCGTGTCTTCGTCGGGAGCGCGCACGCCGCAGTACCTCGCGTCGATGGTCCCCTCTCCGCGCGCAACGTCATGGTAGCGCGCGTTCGTGCGTGTTGTCGTACGCTTACTTTCTAGTCGACCTCGGTAAAAGTGAAATTGTGTACCAATTTCTCTCTCATTCGCGCCCCCACGAACTACGGTCGACTGCCACGACCCAAATCACATCTCGGGAGAGCAGCGTGAAAAAAAAAAATAATAATAGAAAAAACCGACACATATATTATATACATTAATATATTTTATATCATTATTATTGTTTGACTTTCACCGTCGCGGTTTTTCTCCTCTTCTCCTCGGTTTTCGTCAACTCGCGCCCACACACGCACACGCGCTCCGTCGGTTATCCCGATCGATTTGCCCGGTACGATTCAAGGGCATTACGAGTCAAGGGCAAATATCTACACCCCCGTGGGTGGTGGTGGTGCGTTTGAATATGCGCGCGCGCTCGCCTGTGTGCGTGGTTCATTGCAGCCGCCTCCTCGAAAGGGACAGTGCGCAGGATATTTGCCCGGCACCTGCTGCTACCGCTACCGCAGCCGCCGCCGCCGCCACCGTTGATCGTTTCGTGTGTGCTGCGCCGACGGCGTCCGTAGAGAACAGTGTAACATCTGCGCGCGTACACGGCGGTCGTGTCATCATGTTGGCCAAATGCGATTCCACGACAAAACGTACGAACGACTGACCTGGTTTTTTTTTCCCCATTTTTGCCTACTCTAATTCTTGCCGTTACTATATTACTCGTGTTCACTGACTTACTGATACACAATAAAATTATAAACCAACTAAAAAACAACAATAACATTTAAATTTAAAAACTACTTTTGTGCGTTCGGTTTCGATAAATATATTTTTTTCTAAATGGACCGTGTTTTTCTCTTTTACAGCTGTACGATTCGGCCGCGTACCCAAACGGGAAAAGGCTCGTATAATGGCCGCCATGCAGCACAGCAGTAACTCCAAAAGCCAGGAGAAGGCAGCCGTGGCGGAGCTTGAAGACGATCAGCGACTCGTTGCCAGCGTGGTCAGGGCGCATCTAGAGACTTGTGACTTCACGTCGGACAAGGTCGCGCCCACGTTGGCCCGAGCCCGCGAACAGCCAAATTACACCTTGTGCCATCCGACACTGGTGAGTTCAGAACAAAATTATTATTATAGTTATCGCATATCATATTAGTGCTATTATGTTATTTAAATTAGATTTTATGTGTGAGTATTTTGTTGTGTTATTCGTACGTGTACCTAATAATATTGTTCGCGTTCAGGAAGAACCTTGGCGACGTGTTTTGTGCGTTAATCAACAAGGTCTGCTGGTATGCAAACGTTTGTATACACAGCTCGGTGTTTACAAAACTATACATTTTTAAATAATTTATTTTATTTTTTCGTACACCATGTATTGCCATGTTTCGCGTTGAGCAATTTTTGATCTATTTATAATTCATTAAAAAATTTTTTTTTATTAAGCTTAATTTTTTTTCGAAATTATCGTTATTTTAATTCTCTCGGCTATCGCCACGGGTGATACAGTAGTACAGTACAGCATGTATCCAATTTCTCCGCGTTCGTCCTTGGCCTTGTTGCCACCGAAATTTCCTAAACGACTTTATAATTATTATTATTTTATTATTAATTGCTGTAGCGCGGTTGACGCACAACTCTAACGCACGTACTCTTCGCCCCTCCACAAAACATTTTCTCGTATGCACCACGGTGACCAGTGGCGATCGCCGCGGCTTAAACGCCGTTGTGTTCCGCTTGAGCGTGATGGTGCAATCCGTTTGAAAACCCGATACTATTCTCTTACTATTATTATCGTTTTGTACATATGTATTGTAATTTTTAATAACGTTGTTGGCCTTGACGCGATGCCGCCACTATCAAGGCCACGATAAACTGATAAATCATTGCACCTTAACTCATCCAACACCGTCTTTTTCTTTTCCATGTGCAGGCTTGCCCCTTGAACCCGAGTCCACGACCCGTCACCGGACAACAAGAACTGTTGAACGACTTTTCGAAGCGATTCTCGCCGGCTATACGTGGCGTGGTCGAGTTCGCCAAGCGTATACCCGGTTTCGGGCTACTCGCCCAAGACGACCAGGTGACCTTGCTCAAAGCCGGTGTTTTCGAGGTGCTTCTAGTTCGATTGGCCTGCATGTTTGACTCTGAGGTAAGTGTCTTAGTGACTGTGTTCCAACGCGTATCTATACTCGTATAGTGCATAATCTATGTGTCACGGTGTTTACGGCGTGTATTGACCTCAATTTTTCTTTTTTTTGTTTCGCGCAGTGTAATAGCATGGTGACGCTCAACGGTCAAGTGTTGCGTAGAGAGTCGGTTTGCGCATACTCCAATGCTAGATTCCTTACCGATTCCATGTTCGAATTTGCCGAGAGGTTAAACGCAATGCAACTGAATGATTCGGAAATCGGTCTTTTCAACGCCGTTATCGTGATCGCTGCCGGTAAGTGTCAATCTATCCTTATATTCTCGCAATCGAATAACTCATCGTTTGTTAAATTACTACTTAAAGTACATTATTGAGAAGTGAATATTTTTAAAACATTCGGTTTTTTTTTTTTTTATTATTTTTACAAAAACAGATCGCCCAGGCTTGCGCAATGTTGAATTCATCGAACGCATGCACAAACAGTTGAAATGCGCGTTGCAGTCGGTGCTCATGCAAAACCATCCTGACCGACCTAGCTTGTGCCAAGAACTGTTGAAGAAAATCCCCGACTTGAGAACACTCAACACGTTACACTCAGAGAAACTGCTGGCGTTCAAGATGACCGAACAGCAAAATCAACTGGACCAACAGCAGCAACAACATCAGCAACAACAGCACCAAGACACCACCACCACAACTTCCATCGCAGCCGCCGCGGCTCAACACCATCAAAACATTCAGAACGTTGGGGGCATGTGGAGTTTAATGATGAACAGCACTGACGACTTCAACCGCAAGAGCCCGGAGGAAGCAGGCTCGTCATCGTGGTCGGACGAGACCACTTCCGTGGAGGACATAAAGAGTCTGGCCATGTTGGACGAGGTCAAGAGCCCGCTTGGTTCAGTGTCCAGCACTGAGTCCGTGTGCTCGGACGAGTACCACCACGGCCCGAGCAAGCACGCGGCGAGTGCTCCTCTGTTGGCGGCCACGCTGGCCGGAGCTGTGTGTCCGATCAGGCGACATGCGGTGGCGCCGTCAGATGAGCTACACCACCAAGTGATCGTCCGGCCGATGTCGTGCCGCCGGTATCAGCGGAAGCAGGACTCGCCGACTGACTCTGGTATTGAATCGGGTACGGAGAAACTGGACAGGCCAATGCCGCATAGCGCGCCCACTTCGGTGTGCTCTAGTCCGCGGTCCACCGTCGAGGACGTCGTCATGTCAGCCGATTCGCACCATCCGGCGGCCATCGAGGACATGCCGGTGCTGAAGCGCGTGCTCCAGGCTCCGCCGCTGTACGACACCAACTCGCTGATGGACGAGGCTTACAAGCCGCACAAAAAGTTCCGAGCCCTACGCAGCGCCAAGGACTCGGCCGAGGCTGAGGCCGTCCGACCGTCGGTGGCGACTACTGTCCACAGCAACAGCACCCTCCTCAACCACCTCCAACAAAACCACCACCATAATTCACCGCAACTGCATCATCACCTCACGTCGTCGTCGTTGTCGAGCACGCACTCAACGCTGGCCAAGTCGCTGCGCGAGACGCCAAAGATGACCCCGGAACAGATCAAACGCACCGAGGATATTCACAACTTCATAATGCGCGAGGACACGGCGTGCAGTGGTTACCAACAACAACTACCACAACAACACCACCACCACCACCATAACAACAACAACAATCAACAACACCTACACCAACAACAGCAACCAACCAGGTGGCAACACACGCCCGTAATAACTTCTGCTTTGGCCCAGAACAGTTGCAGATTGTCACCGCCGTCGCCTACCAGCAGGTATGCGTCGTCAACGGTGAGCAGTGGCGGCGTTTTGGCGCGCGTCCTGTCGCCATCGTCTTCGTCCTGTGCGTCTCCGCCGCCGTCCGCGCTGTCGATGGTCATGCGCCGCACGCCGTCGCCAAACGTTGTCAACCTTCAGGTGGGCATTACCAACGCAGCCGCAGCCGCTGCCGAGGCGGCGGCCGCTCACCAGCAGCCGCTTAACCTGTCCAAAAAATTGTCCCCGTCGCCGACGCCTACGTCCGCCGTTGGCAGTGGCACCACCACGCCACCACCTCCTGCTCCCGCTCAGGTGGCTATGGAAGCGTAAGCCATCCAAGCCCCGCCCACCACACTCCCCGTTGCCGTACGTAACCGCATCGACTCGATCTCACGAGAGTCAATCTCTAGACCAAAACATATGAAAAAAAAATCAACAAATGGAAACAAATGGGGTTTCTATACGCAAACCAAAACAGGTGCGGTGATCGTTTTCCTATTTTTAATAATTTTTTTTTTTGTTTTAATTTTAATTTTTTTTTTTTTTTTTTGTGGCAATACATACAACTTTGTGTACATATTACTATAACATATTAGACCTTACGAGTTTAAGTTTAATTTTATAATATTATATCATAATATATATATATATATATATCTCACGCTTTTATTTTTCTTTCTCTCTATACATATATATATATACTATCTTATTCTATTTAATAATTATTACTATAAAAACGTTTTCCGCGTAACTATTTTTTGAATTTACGAGAGAAATATTAAAATAAAACTGTACAAATTTATAAATTGACCGATTTTTTCCGTTGAAGACACCCTGCGTGATATATATATCAAATTATAAAATATTTATGTTTATGTAGAAGTATAATTATATATAATACATTTATTATGAAAACATTTATTTTTTTCTTTTTATTTTTAAATGTGATAAACATTTTAAGGATTGCATTTGATATTATTCTGTACATATTACATTTTACCGTGTAAGTTCCAAAAATGATTTTTTTCCCTATCGTAGTTAGCTATGATATTCATCCTGGTATATAGTTATAAACGGTTCAAACCGATTTGACGTTATCTTTTTTGGACATTACCTATATAATATATATATGTATATACATTTATATACTATGTATTGATAATTATATATAATGATTAAAATAGTGACCTCTTTTTTTTCTTTCTTATTGTTGTAAATATGATTTTAAATTTACGAAGCAAAAACACAGTATATGTTATAATATAAACATTTTGAATGTTTTCGGAATACATTTTTGAGACTGAAGGAAGTGTCGAGCCATTTTTTATTTTATGACTGGCGCGGTTTGGTTTTTTCGTTTCTAAATATGTAGCGTGTTAAAAATAATATTTCTATAACAACCCCTATATACTATACGTATTTGTGTTTTTATTTGCGATATAAAAATCGAGTTGGCCAGTACAAATTTTCAGACCCACAATAATTTTTTTTATTTTATTTATTTATTTATTATTATTATTTTTTGTATATAAGCCAAAAACTAATTTCCTTTCCGCCACCATCACCACCGCTAACAATACTTCCACGCGTCTTGCCGAAACAGAATTGTAGACATTTTGTTTGCTTCCTCTGTAGGTGAAGTGACATATATATTTTTGCACAGAAAAAAAAGAGGCGTGTCGATAGGCATATTATTTTGATTTCTTGTACCGGCCGTATAAAGTTTTATGTGACACTAATGACTCATGAGTAATGAAAAAAAAAAATTAAAAAAAAACAAAACACATTTTAAGATTTCTGTACCGCGAATATCAGTCGAATGTTTGAAGAGCCATAGATATATGGATGTCAGCAGTGTGTGTGTGTGTGTGTGTGTATGTATGCGTGTGCTTAATAACACAATGAGACATAAATTAGTAAACATGTCGACGAGTGAAAAACATGATTTTCGTATGTTACGAAAATCGCTGCTCATCTTGTGATATACTTTTATAATTTAATCTTATACTATTCACGCGTACTGAGAGAAATGAAAAAAAATTTTCGATAAAATAGGTTGAGTACCTATATTATTTATATTTAAATATGTGTGTGTGGTGTGTTGTGTATGTGTGTGTAAATATGCAAATATGTATAAGTGTTTAACTTTATACTAGACGGTAATTTTGTGTTTTTCCCTACTTTTTTTCTTTATCAATTCCGGTAGGCATATCGTAAAATTAACTAAAATCAGTTTTTTTCGCGTGCATTGCAACCCTCTGTATAAAATAATATACATCTATATGACTATATGTATACATACATACATATATATATATATATATAAATATTTATAATCATACAATCAAAAACTTAACTATATACGAAAAAACCAACTTCAATATTAATATAATATTGATATATTACATATTAAATTAGTATTCTGTTAAACATACTACATATAATTATATATTATTATTATTATTGATAATTATTATATTATCATCATGTTTGAAAATATGAAGAAAACAATTATTGTGTTAAAAAAATGTACCAATGTTTATTTTTTTAAGTTTAAAATATATTTTTTTTTGTGTGCTTATGACTGTTAGCATTGTGTAATATTTTTTTTGTTTTTTCATTTTTAAGCTTGGGATTATTAATTGTATTTTTTGTTTCTATCCTTTTCCAAGGTCTTTGCGTGTATATGTATAATATATATGTGTGTATGATTTAATTATTATATGTATATGAGAATTGAAAAAAAAGAGAAAAAAATAATAAAACTGTCTGATTATTGTAATGAAAATAAAATTACTGTCGTTTTTATTTAAAAATATATATGATTTATAAGATAACACAAGGTTCGTACAATAATAATTTACCCATAAATCATTTCTCCACTTCGTTAACGGTCGGTCCTGGGCCCGTTATTCTACGTATACGCATTTAGCTAACGCTAAGATAGTTTATTATTGTATGTCGATGACGTTTAACTATATAGTCACCCGCTACAGTAGTCGAGACGAACGCTGTGCATATAAAACAACGGGACGATTTGATCCTGCGGCGGCGAGCAGGATACGGATTTTCAATGCCATAGCGCAGCCGCCGCAGCAGCCGTCTGATGACCTACTTGTCCGGTGCGGCGGTGCGCTATAAAAACTAGCTCACTTTCCCGTGCACTGAGAAACGCTGTACGATGGCCGAGCCATGACATCGGGAGCTGTTATTATTATTTTTAATATTTATCATGACGTGCACTCGCATCAAACGACCGCGTCGGTTATTTTAATGCTTTAATATATTATAATATTAATTATGTATTGTTTACGCGAATTATAATCGTTTAACAACAAATACCCAGCTCCAACCGGGGAAGGACGGTTATTGCTATGTTTTTATCAGGACGTAGATACGACGAAAGTGGTGACTCATCTGCCGAGTGTAGATGAATTGACGTGCGGTACGTGCTCATAGCGGAGTTCGATGCGATGCGGATGGGTGTCGGGCATATCGCATATACAATAATATAATATATTATTTACATAAATCGATTAACCGTATAAATATTGTATTACCTATAATAGCAGCCGACAAGTAGTGATAATAGTGTAATATAAGTATAAATTAGTATTGTTTGCAGAAATGGCAGGATGATCACCGTATAGGTGCGGTGCATGGTCGTCGACATTGACCTTGAGACGAGATTTTAACAATACCGTCGATAACACAAACGTTTACGATTTTTCAATGATGCACAACAATGATATTGTGTGTTGTGCGGCGACCGATATAAACCGCGTGTATGCGTGATAAGATAAATACCACTTCTGCCGCGCGTTGAGAAAAGTGAACGTTGTGAACTCGTTTGCGATAGCATTCGTATATAAATATATAATAATAATAATAATAATAATATACGTATGGCGTACGCGCTATTACATAAATGAAATCGTATGTGCCAAGTCAAAACCGCGTGACAAACGGATTATCTTGCTGTCGGATTATTAATCGTCATTACAATAATTATACCTATTTATTATTATATTATAATATCAATGCGATGTGCCCAGAGCCGGACATTAAGGATCCGAACCTCTCTCTCTCCTAGAGCAATACATTTATGTATACATAAACACATTTGGTACTCCTTATCGAGGAGCTATTGCTATTTAAACAAGTAACAGTATACATTTCATGTGTACAATAATTATATGAATAGGTATGTGAAGATGCCGTGTGGTAAAAGCTCTTTTTGCAGCTATGTTAATTCGGTCCTGACATGTGATAAAGATAGATTTCGGTCAGTCACGTGTACAGAGTGGCCGGAGTTTTTTAAATGTAAAAACAGGAAAACTTGTGGAAGAGGGTGACGCTCTGTACGTGATAACAACATATATCGGTGAACGCGAAAAAAGTTGTAAACGGTGGCAAGTGGCAATTCGAAATAAACGATCGCCGATAGTCTGACTACGGTGGCTTGACGAATGCCGTTATTTAGCTTATATTATACTTACACAGGTCGTACACGGTTATTTTTTCGTGTGTATAATGTATATACATCGTTACTATAATTTATAATGCAGTAAAGTCGTATATTAAGCATTACATAACTACTACAGGTGTTAGCTCTACACTATTTTGCAGAGGTAATTGAGGTAGGTATATATACATACGGTTCTGGATTAAATGCACATTAAGTGCTTACTTATAATTTTTTTTTCATTTCATGATATTATCGCCTGCGTTCGAGAAAATGTAGGTATATAAAAATAATAACAATATTGGATGTACAATATAGGCATATTATTCTATATGGGGCTTGGAAAACTTAATAATTTTACATGTACGGTGTATCTACCTACTACAGTAGACTACCTATTATACCTATATACATATATATTTAAATATAGTACATTAGTACATACGATGGTCGATGAGATAATGTAGCAACTTGTTTGTGTTTCAACGAAAAATCTCTGTATATTATCCATGTATATTACGCGCACAAAACGATTGGTCGGTTGAACGGTTTTACTATTTACTCTTAGAGTATAAGCAATAGCAGTCGTATCTGTACAAACATCGTTTTTTGATATTATATAATTTGCTACTGTCACGATATTTTTGTACTTTTTTTCTCCGAAACAGTGATACAGGGGCCAGAGTTTAATTCGCATTACTGAGCAGGAATTTCGAATAGAATAAAATAATATACTTGGATACTATCGGACTAACGGCTGTATATTCATGTATTGAATAATGTGAACAATGATTAGAAATGTCGAGTGCGTATTTTCGAATAAAGACCCCCAACTGAGCTGTATTTTTGTACTATAAAAGTGCATTACGTTATGCTTACATATTTCGGTGTCACTGAAGTATCGTATAACTAAAATATTAAATAAGTAAACGAAAAAAAAACATAAGTATATAGTTTTAGTATCATCATACAATACAGTCTAGAATAAATATGAAATGTTATTAATGTTATTCTGTGATGTTATGTTATAATGGAATATGAACACTAAATGTTCCGATCTCAAAATATTCAGTCAATATTAATAGAATT